TGTTTAATTTTTTTTTATGTTCACATTTTTTCAAAGCCCGCGCCCGGGTTGGGTCAACACATCCACGTTGTTTGGGGGGGGGTTTCGCGAAACAATTGCCCCCCCCCCCCCCCCCCCCCTTGTTTCACTTCAGCTGCCCTTTTTTGATCCCGCGATCATGCCATCGTGGTTCCTTTCAGTCTTCTCCCCGTTCAAGCCCCCCCCCGGAGGAATAGCTTGAGGATGACATCAAACAGTTCCCTGGCCGATTGTGGCTGTTATACGAGTGCCCCATCCTGCTTTCTCTCTCTCTCTCTCTCTCTCTATGTATATATACTAGAGCATGTTTTCAGATATTAATCGACGTTCTAACGTGATTCGCTCGCCGAGGCCCTAACTGTCGCCTAGAAGGATTATATGATAATATTTATAGGTGTTCTAAAGCGAAACTAGATACAAAGTGAAAGGCCATGGGCATTGGCAGGCCTGCACTTGCTTCTATTCATCCCCCTTAGCATGTAGCGTTGTAGGGGGAAACCAATATATTAGAGACATGCTCTAATCATAAGAAAAATCCCAATAATCCCTTTGTCTGTAGACACGAGGCCGGCTGGGACCGGTCTTAGAACAAAGACCAATGAATTTCCTCGGGTACACAAAGAACCAAGATAGTATTCTTTACAATAGTAGATGTACTACACAGCTTGTTGCTAGTATGGATTTTGTTTTTCAACTGTCGTAGATGACTATCGTAGCGTGATTATACTTATATCCGTAAGGAACATACCTTAGTGGAAAGACAAGAAAGGAGAGAGAAGAAGAAACTGTGCAGTTCAATATGGGTTCGGCTCCCGTCGCGCTCGGGTTGCCAATACAAAGCAATAATGACCCTACTGAGTACCCGGAGATATTCAAACATGTCAACAACTACTTCACGCAGAACCGCCGGTTCGAGCAGGGCAAGAGTAAGTGCCTTCGAGATTCGCCCAGTACCCCCCTCTTCCGACCCCCAAGACACTATCCCCTCCCCAGGAACAGAAAGTTACCTAAACCTAGGTGAACGATGACTAACCATCTCCCCTCCACGCGTGGGTGTATCTACTTGCAGTGCTTGGGAGAGGCTCATTTGGCGGGGCCTTTATCTTCAACGAGCTTGATGCGAACGGCGAATTCCTGCGCAAGGTCGTGGTCAAGACGTCGCTGGACCCGTGGTCCGACCTGGCGACCCTGAACGAGATCCAACACCTGACCGCCGTCCGCGGCGCCGAGCACATCGTCCGCCTGCTCTGCTCCGTGCCCGACGTGCCCGGGCTCGACCGCGCCGCCTTTGTTATGGACTATGTCGAGCACGGCACCTGGGGCGATGCCCTTGCCCGGGTCCGCGCCGTGAATCAGCGCATACCGAATCGCATGTTATGGGGGATTTTCCTCGTGAGTTAAACAGAATTTTTCTTTCTTGCTCCTTGTAGGCTAGAGAGGGAGAGATTATAACGTGCTTGTTCTGGGTTGTCTTTTGGGGGTTGGGTTCCTGATGATATGTGTTACGAGTCAAATAAAAGGGGGGAAGAGTAGTCTGTTATAAGAGCGTTGCTAACCTCGTCTTCCGCAGTGCCGTGAGTCCTCGTAGCAAAGCCTTACCCAAGCCAGTCCTCCGGGGAACCGAAACTAACAGATCGCAGTAGCACGCGCCGTCGCCGGCATGGCTTACCCGCGGGGGGCCGAGGCCGACGCTCCACCGTGGAGGGAGCAGATCATCGACGGCCAGGCACCCAGTCTAATCGCCCATAACGACATGAATCTTGGTAACGTCGTCGTTGGCGCATGGGACAGGACAGACGAGGAGCATAGACTGTGCCCGATCACCAAGGTAAACCAACCGTACACCACCGCGCGGCTTGACGAGATGTTATACTGACGGAAGATCTCGCAGTTGATCGATTTCGGCTGTGCGGACACTCTGGTGCCGGGAGAAGAAGCGTATGTTACCCCCCCCTCCCCCTCCCCCTTTTTTCTCTCTCCTTCCCCGCCCTCAGACGTTCAAAGCTGAATCCTCCCTCCCTCCCATCCAGAGGCGGGAACCTCGCCGCCGTGCGAAGCAACATCAACGACATCGGCAGGGTAAGTCACCCCCCTCCCCCCCCTCCACCCCACCCATTGCTCACCCCTCTCCCCAGGTAATGCGCTGGCTCATAAGCGGCGTGCCCGACTTCACCATCGCACCGGCCATCATCGGAGGCGGCGACCCGCCGCGCACCATCGAGTGCCGCACGCACGCGGGGCTCGACGACCCCGGGCTCACCGACGAGCTGCGGTTCCTGGTGCGGCGGTGCTGCGCGACGAATGCGGCCGACGTGCCGAGCCTGCGCGAGGTGCTGGGCGCGTGCGAGAACGCCGTGCGCAACCATACCGCGCAGGACTACGCGCACCTCGGCCCCGCGGCGGCGGTGTACGAGCGCGATGCTGCGGTGGCGTATTTGGTTCAGATGTGTATACTGGATGCGCCGTTGAGCTGATGGTCTTGGGGAGGGGATGTATGTATATAAACTGGTTTTTTTTTGGGGTTTTTTTTTGGGGGGGGGAGGGAGAGAGAGGGGGGGGGGGAGAGAATGGGGTTTATGACAATGGGGTGCTTTTATGGCTAATAAAGGGGCAACGCGGCGTTAGGGAGAAGTTATAAACAGCATTGGTTGTATTACTATTAGCAAAATTAGACAATTGATAGGTACCTGACTCAGATCACTTATATGCTCTTAAGAATAGCCACTTCACAAAAGATCTCGTGGTCAACATTATACTAAAACCATCCCACTAAGCATTGTTGTTACATGCAGAGATAAAAGGCTTCATACACGCAAGTTTATACGAAAATCCTATATCATACAATGGTGAAATTTTTAATAGTATATTCTCGTTTTTTTTGGTCTATATTCCATACGTAGTAGTAGACACTTTTACCTTTTGTTGTACTTAAAGTGTATTTTTTTTTAATGCTAAAAGGTTTTTATATCATGTTTTAAACATATTTATTATGTTGACATTAGCATTTGCACCTTAAAGGGGTAGGCATTTACAGTTACAGGCTGCATATAATATATCTAAGTAGTTATATACTCTAATAACTTAAGCTTAAGATATTAAATTACTTGCTTACACCAGATAGTATTCTGACAAATGCTATCTTGAATCCCGATATCTATATATATACCAAGCTCCTATCAATTCATTTAAGAACCCGTCCCGGTATTCTCGGGCTTGCAAACCAGTCCGGCTAACGTACATAATTTCCGGTGTCATCTCTGATACAGTCAGCCGTATTCTATGGTACAGATGGGATACTATAATTTTGCGCACTGATACTCTACCCATTCTCTATTCCCCCAAATCCCATAGTCTAATTTTAGGCAATGGAAGAAAAAAAACCCCTTTGCTGAGAAAGAAGGGTTTGTCTCTTATGGCAGCAGCCTTGTGGATTGAAGCCGTTTGTAACATGTGATAGGAAACAATCGAGGAGAGTCTCATGTTCAATTCTCATTTTCTAGCCTTAATGCATAGTTCTAGATGATAGATATAGCCGCCAACAGGACCTCTAGAGTGTCGTGCTCTATAGAGGGAAAAGGGGGGGGAAGAAACCCGAGTTACCAAGTAAAACCTCACCCAGTACATATGCTAGGCTTTCTTTATTTTATTCCGTCATGAAGATGTAGCCAGTACCCTATCTACCGACAAGTGCATACGCTATTTTCTTGTATAAATATTGTGAAGAAACCCTAATGCGACAAAAAAAGAGTCCATACCGCCCAAAGCCACTCCCCACAACCGTGTAACGCCTTGCTCCGTGTTCCCGCGTACCGCATTTTTACCGTTCAGTTTTGATTGTTATTCGGGAGGAACCAACTCCTTAGGTAGTACTCCGGCCCTTTCGTCTCGGCTCCTGCTGCTCCCTATGATGGTTTGACCATCGAGGTCAGGATCATATTCCTCATGTCCCGTCTTCGGGCCACTTCGCTCCGGGGCCTTCAAAGTCCTCGAGTGCGAGAGCTTCATACTCTGACTGCTTTCGCCACTGTTGGACTCATCGTCGCTGTCTTCGAGCACGTCGTCGAAGGGGTCACGCTCGTCCTCGTCGTCCGACGGCAGCCTCTCGTGGTCCGTCTCCTTCTTCTTGATAAAACTGTCTATGATGTAGTATTGCATCGCATTCATAATGAGGGGGAATAACATCATGACAAAGACGATCTGCACCCGTTCGTTACCCTCGGTCCACCGCAATGCCCAGTCGCCCACCCGAGATATCCATGGTAATATCAGGAATATAATGAGCACGCAGATCTTCATGCCGAACAAACCACAGAAGTAGATAACAGATTGCTTGAGCCACCACCAGGCATTCGGCGGATGACCGTAGTAGCCCGACTGGATTGACTCGGGCGGCTTCCCCATCGATGTGTAGGAGACGAGGCCGGTGGTAACTCGAAGCAAGATGATAAGAATGGGGATACCGAGGGTGGTCTGGGTTATGACGTATTAGCGCCTGTGTAGTTTTATCATCCCATACGCTAGGTATGGTAGATAGTGAGAAAGAGAGCACGAGCACGCGATGAAGACTTACATCGATAGCTAAGTTTAGCAGGTAGAACGAGCAAGGGTTCGGAGCGTAATCGGCATCGTCCCTTCGCAGTAATCTATGCGCCGTC